CATATAAACCTAAGTAGGATAAAACGTACTGAGAAGAGTGAACAAGTGCTGGTGAAGTTCGGAAGGCATAGCACTCACACTATTTGGGGCAGTTCTAGGGGCTCTGAATAAGAGAACAGCCAGCGTATGCACTAAGTCCTTTCTCTGCCACGTGAGAAGGCAAAAAGATAATGGCTGGAGAAGATCAAGAAAACACCAAGGCTCCCGAACACACGTTTCTCTCTGAGTTCACAAACCCCCAAAAGTTCATCCACACTGTGGATTTTGAGAAGTGGCCACAACACAGCATTAACAGCCGCAGGTGAACCTCAAAAACCCACTCCTCTGAGTTATGCCTCCTTCCGCATCCCGACTACATTCTGTTCTAGCTTCCGTCTCCTGGAGGAGAACATCAATTCAACCACTAATCTGTTCTCCCTGGAGACTTCTTCTTGTGGTTGCAAAGAGGAGATGCACTTTAATAAATGTGAACAATTCATTAGGCTAGGAACTCTTTTGATCTATATTTATTTATAAGAGAGACTATACTCGTATCAAATCATATACACAGAAGCAGAGACGGAAGATACAGTTAACTGAAAGAAATTTCTAGAAATTTTATAAGGAGGGTTTAGAATGGCACTGAGGAAAAGGAGGAGCCTACTTTTCCAGCTCAGCCACTCCTGACCCCAATGAGATACATGATCTGAGTGGTTTTGTCAGCTTTTGTCTTCACTGTTAAGGCTAAATGGTTTTCCACCCCATAAACGGTGAGGTTCAACGTTGGCTTCTTTCTCTTCTCTGGCATCTAGATACTGCTTTTGATTGTGGTTTCTTCACCTACAGCTTGCCTTTTGTCCAACCACCTTCTGTATTTTATAGTCCTTAAATATTAACTAAATATTGACTTTAGCCTGTTAATAAAAGTGGATATATCACCTTTATTTTCAAACACTTGAACAAGAAAATAGGGGGAAAAATTTTTGCCCCTGGATTTATCATATTCATGGAAGAACTGGAAGAATATTTTACAAGGTAATTTTGTGGCTAAGGGCTGGATGGGTTCAGTCCTATTTCTCCCTGTCAAACTCCATTCACTCCACCAACCAATTTCAGCCCATGGACCCACATCTCAGGTGCCCACTACCCGACCCCACACAAGGTTGTGTGTGTGTGGCTGATGGAAGATGGTCAAGGTTCTGAAGATATCTTTCTAGAGGTAAAGCTGGAACACAAAATCAAGGTTATTGCTGTTCATCCCTCCTCCAGAAGAAGTCGCTCTTCCTAATCAGCCCCAAAGAAAGGCATCTGGTACACCAAGTAGTGACTAGAGGAATTTTTCCCTTTCTCCTCCTTTCCTACCATTTCTCTTCTTTGCTTATTCTTTCTGCTTACATTCACCACTGACAAAAACTACATAGATACAGTAGCAACAGAAGATTCTTCAGACAGGTTCCTAGGAATAGAACCAATGGGAGAGAAAACATTAGACCATTCCGTTGCACACCCTGCTCCTCTCTTCACATGCTAACATCTATCCCTAAGCTACCATATCACTCTGGTGTTCACAGATCCACCACACTTCACCACACCTGAAATTGAGATAGAAGATAGCGTTGTTCTGCTTCCCTTGAAATCACCAGCCTAACATCCTCCTTTCACAATTTTTTTTTCTTAATTGCACATGATGGAGGCTCCTTGATTAAAATCAAATTTGCTCTTCCTCCCACCAGCAGCCACATTTCTTCCCCATGTAACCCACACGGTAAGCGGGGCGGGGGG